GCGTCGCGCTCAGCTGCCCCTCGCGTCACGCACTGCTGCAGCCTGCGCCAGCGCCCTGCCCTGCGCCCGCGCCCTGCCCTGCGCCAGCGCCATGCTATACCCTAAATATAATTAAATTGTTTATTAAGGGCCCTAGGTGCTTCTGCCCTAGGAGCTACTGCCTACTACTGCCCTGCTGTGGCCGCGCGCCGCCCTTCTCTGGCTACACGCCGCCCTGCTCTGGCCGCGCGCCGCCCTGCTGCTCTTACTGCTGCTGCTGCTACTCGTGCTACTGGGAGTGGTGGAGGTGCTGCTGGGAGTGCAGGAGGTGCTGCTGTAGGAGCTGGAGGTGCTGGACCTACTCCTGACCGTCACTGTCTGTCATGGCCACTTCCGCGGCAGTTGCTGCGGCCAGGGGTGGACAGCAGCGGGCACTGCTTCTCCCGGACGACCCCACCCCTCGGCAGCTTCGTGAGTGGGTTATTCAGCGAGGACGTCCTTGTGGTGGAGGTTATCGTTCTGTTAGGACTGCTGCTCTAGGTGCTAGTGAGTCTGCTGCCGCTCCAGGTGCTAGTGAGTCTGCTGCAGCTCTAGGTGCCCGTGCGTCTACCGACGCTCTAGGTGCTAGTGCGTCTACTACCACAGGTCCTGCCTCAAATGAGGTCTTGCACACTTTCACGCTTGACTCAGGCGCGTCACGTTGCTTCTTTCGTGATTGCACCACAGTCACACCACTCACAGCACCTGTCCCAGTCTCACTGGCTGACCCCTCTGGGGGCCCAGTGGTTGCGAGAGCCTCCACGGTCCTCCCTTGTCCATCAGTCCCCTCCGACTCTTTGTCAGGTCTCCACCTCCTCACGTTCTCGACGAACTTGGTGAGCAACGCTGCCATTCAGGATGTCTGGGTTGATACCTTTATTCCTGGAGGGCAGCGTGTGGCGATCTGTACGTGCTCCCGGACTGGCCGTCACCTGGCTACGTTCACTCGACAGCCTGGGTCTAGTCTGTACACACTGACCACTGCGTCTGCACAGGTGGCTGAGTCAGGTCAGGTAGCTACGTCGAGTCGAGCGTCTGCGTCAGGGCAGTTAGCTGCGTCTTGCTCGTGCCGAGTACTCACGCACGAGACTCAGCGCTGGCACCACCGTCTTGGTCACCCCTCCCTGCAGCGTCTGCGCCGCATGCACTCCCGGCTCCTGGTCACTGGCCTCCCTGAGACCCTGCCCCCCCTCCCGCGCTCACTTGCGCCGCCGTTCCTTCCTTGCGTCGAGGGGCGGCAGCGCGCCGCTCCTCACTCCTCCGAGTTTCCTCCGACCACTGCTCCTCTGCAGACTCTCCACATGGACGTGTGGGGCCCGGCCCCCGTCGGTGGAACGGACCAGGAGCGCTACTTCCTGCTGGTGGTTGACGACTACACACGCTACACCACAGTCTTCCCCTTGCGGCGCAAGGCGGATGTCAGTGGTGTCTTGATCCGCTGGATCCGTGCTACTCGTCTCTAGCTGCACGAGCGCTTTCAGCAGGACTTCCCAGTCCTGCGTCTGCACTCTGACAGGGGTGGTGAGTTCTCCTCTGGCGTCCTTGAGACGTTCTGCCAGGATGAGGGCATCCGCCAGTCGTTCACGCTTCCGGCCTCTCCGCAGCAAAATGGGATCGCTGAGCGTCGCATTGGCCTGATCATGGAGGTTGCTCGTACCTCCATGATCCATGCGGCTGCTCCCCATTTCCTGTGGCCGTTTGCGGTCCGATACGCCGCGCATCAGCTCAACCTCTGGCCCCGTGTCTCTGCTCCAGAGACCTCGCCCACACTCCGTTGGACGGGACAGCCTGGTGACGTCGTCGTTTCGGGTCTGGGGCGCGCTCTCCCTTGTTCGCGATACCAAAACGAGCAAGCTCTCTCCTCGCACTCTCCGCTGTGTCTTCCTGGGCTTCCCCACCGACGCCCCGCCCTGGCAGTTCTACCACCCTGCCTCGCGTCGTGTTCTGTCCTCTCTGGACGTCACCTTCGACGAGTCGGTCTGTTACTACCGACTTCACCCGCACGCGTCCCACCCGGTCCCCCTTGCACCCCTCTTCCTGGTACCAGTCCCCCCCCCCGGTAGACCCCCTCCCCCCACAGGGTCCTGCTCCCTCAGGTGTGTCCCAGGTAGACCCACCCCCCTTGGATGAGCCAGTTGAGATCTACAACCGCAATCGCCTTCTAGCGCTCGCTTCCGCCACCCCACACTTTCAGCAGAGCCTCGTGCGCATAGAAGGAGGCGTAGCTGAGGGGAAAGCACGCCGCCTTCTCCGCCAGCGCTCTCCTCTGGGAAGACTCTGCCGTCAGCAGCTCGCCTGCCGGCTGGAGAGCCTCTGCATCCAGCCGATTCCTGAGGTTCATCACCCCCAGCCCGCCCTTACATCTCCTCATCTGCATGAGCTCCGCACTCCAGAGGATAAAACCTGGCCCTGCGCTCGCCCTCCCGCAGGACACAAAGGCATGGCAGAGCCGGCGGAGCTCCTCCCATATCGTGTCTGGGGGCGGGTACACCTGCGCTTGGAACAGCGCGATGGGCATGACGTAGGCGTTGATTACTGCCACTCGCGCCGTTGTGGTAAGGTAATTCTGCTATTTTTCTAGTTCCGCTTCCATTCTGCACAATGCTCTCTGCCAGGAAGGCCTCGCGTCTCCCCCCGATGTGATCCATACCCCCAGCAGGCGCTCAGGTTCATCCGGCGCTGCCCACTTGAAAGAAGAGACCGCCGGCGGCGTCTCATCGCGCTGTCTTCCCAGCGGTAGCACCACAGTTTTGTCACAGTTTGCCGCCAAACCAGACATCCGCTCGAAGTCCCGGAGCAACTCCTCAGCCATGTCAAGCTGCGCCCGGCCCTTCAACAAAAGGGTAGTGTCATCCGCATACCCCAGGTAAGTCAACTTCCCTGCACCCGTGATATCCACCCCTAACTGCCGTCTCTGTGCTTCCTGGCAGAGGGGCTCCACTGTGCAGAGGAAAATGTACGGCGCGAGAGGACAGCCCTGCCTCACCCCGGTCTGCACCGGTACCTCGTCCCCAGCCAGCCGTCATTGCAGATGCGTGTCGCTTCTCCTTGATGCAACCCCTCAACCCACTTCACGTACCCCTCCGGGAAACACATTTTCCTTAGAACCTCGAACAGGTAGTCTCTTGATACCGAGTCGAACGCCTTCCGGAAGTCAACCATGAGGAGAAGCCAATCCTCCAGCCCCGAGTTCGCTGCGTCAATCGCGTCCGCCGCAATCGCAACCGCGCTCGCCAGGCTCCTCCCAGGTAGGAACCCGAACTGGCCAGTCGACACCACCTTCTCCAAAATGTGCTTTACCCTGTTCGCCAGGATTTTTGCCACAATTTTATATGCTGTGCTGAGCAGGGTGATCGGGCAGTAGTTCTGCAAGTCCTCTTTGTCCCCCTTCTTGTGCAGAAGCACCGTCACCGCCGTTGAGAACTCAGCGGGCAGCTCCGCCGTCCGCTCAAACTCCCTCAGGAAGCGCAGTACGTGTCCCCCCAGCAGGTCCCATTGTGATTCCCACAGCTCCTTCGGGAGCCCGTCCCTCCCGGGCGTCTTTTATGCGCCATCTCCGCCAGCGCGCGCTTGACCTCCGCTTCCTCCCAAGGTGCGCTCAGCACTGCCGCGTCCTCCGGTGAGAAACACCTGTCCATCCTGAAGTCCGGCGGCAGGACCCCCGGTTCGGCTCGCGACGGAAACAGATCAGAATAAAACATTAGACGCTGCTTCGAGGGCTTCCTTGGCGCCGACGTATTGCCGCCCCTGAAGGATCACCTTCTCCAGCCTCGTCTTCGCCTTTCTCGCCTTGATCTTCCCCGACAAGAAACTGGTAGGAGCCTCCCCGTTCATCTCTACTTTGATTCCCGCTTGCTCCCGTCCTCATACGCCTTGAGCTTAGTCTCGCACTTCACGAACTTTGCCTTAGCCCTTGAGCACCAGGGCCTGCTCATCACCCTTTGTCTTAACTCCCCAACCTCTCGCTCCAAATGCGCTGTCGTGGCTGCTACTCTCTTCCGTTCCTCCACCGTGTACGCCTTGAGCCCGACTTTTAGGGAGTTCGTCAGGGCCTCCGGATCACCGCCCCTCTCCTCATTTCTCCTCACTATTAGTGATACCCGCTTCTGCACCCCAAGGCGCGATACTTGCATGGCCGGGAGCCTCCACAAACCAGGGCCAGCCTCTCCATCTCCACCCGCGCTTAGCTTCATATGGACCGCAAACCAGTGATCCGTGAACTTCTTGACAAGTCCCACATGCCGGACCTCGTGGACCAGGTGCAGAAGCGACTGCGAAAAAAGGATGCGGTCGATTCGCGTACTCTCCCTCACCGCCGCTACTAAGGAAGTGTACTCCCTCAGGTACGGATGGATCGCCGTGAAGGCGTCCCTGGTATCAAATCTGCTGCAGATCGCCATGAGCCTGTCGTTATCTCCCTTTGATCCAACTCCTGACGTCTTATCCATCGCTGGGTCCTCTATCACATTCAGGTCCCCCGCCAGCACCAGATGGCTCCCGCTCGGGATCGCTGCGACGAAAGGCTGAAGCACATCCCTGAAGAAAGGCCCCCTCTCACCGTTGGGTAGGAAAGTAAGCTGCTGCAACCACTACTGTTACTCCTCTCCTCGGCGTGGATTGTAAGAGTCGCGGTGCTGCCAGCATGGTTGGGAAGAGTGGGGAGGTGAGGTGAGCAGGTGGGTGCTCTGGGCTGAGAAATCGCGCAAAATGTTCTTTGTCGTGGTGAGTGAACATCGTGAATACTCGGTACAAGCTCGCTGGGATGGAACCAAAATAAGTCAACCAGTGGAAAGAATATTACAATACAGCCACTACCACAAAGTGTTTCTAGCTTTCATTACTCTTCTTACCAACCTGAACAGTAATGCATGCACTGCAAAGGAAACCTCTTCACCTAGTATATAACTTGCCTTTTCAATCAACAGCGTGACTATATGATACCCTATGTACCATCGGCTTGCCCTAGCCAGCGCGCTTGAATCTCATACCCCCGCCATGAGCACAACCACCAGCAGTGGCAGAACTGCAGCAGCCAGAGAGGCTCCACTCGCCCCAGCAGCCTTGGGGGACGGAGGAGGAGGGATGGGTCCAGTGGGAGGAGGAGACGCAGATGGGGGGGATGGAGACATGATGCTGGGGAGAGGAGCACCGGTAATGGTTGCCGGCGTGGAGGGAGTAGGTGGAGAAAGGGCAGGAGCGGGAGAGGAGGGTGCAGAAACAGGAGCAGGAGGCGAAGGAGTAGGAGAGTAGGGGTAAGGAGCATTGACGTCGCCATTAGCGTCAGGGAAAGGCCGGGTGGCGTTGGAGTAGGGAAAGCCTGCGCAGATGGCCCGGTCGAGGGGACGGCCAGACACGTTCTTTGCCGCCGTCATGTTGACCGCACCGGGCGGGCAGGTGGCGGGGATGGTGAGCGGGTCGTAGGACAGTGGGATGACCGGGATCAACGTGGGACCCGAGTAGCACGCTGTGTTCTGCACGTTGTGGTGGGTAGTGGGTGGTGGGAGGTGGGAGGTGGGCATGGCAAGTTCAAGCAGCAGCAAGGAGCAGCAGGGCAAGGGAGAGGTGGGCGAGAAAGCCTTGCAGCATGTGCATAACGGGGGTGGTGGGTGGTTGAGTGGTGGGTGGTGGGTGGTGGGAGGTGGGTGGTGGGAGGTGGGTGGTGGGTGGTGGGAGGTGGGAGGTGGGTGGTGGGAGGTTGGTGGTGGGAGGTGGGCGGTGGGAGGTGGGAGGTGGGCATGGAAAGTTCAAGCAGCCGTGAGCAGCAACGCACGAAAGAAGCTGGCAAGAAAAAGGAGCGCACGCAAGCTGCTGTGATGTGAAAGCGAGCGCCCGGGTTGACTACCCTGCCCTGGAGCGCTCTGACTTCCGGTTGACCCGCAAATGGAGTCACCGCGAAAGTGACGTTGAAGCCGGGGATCTGCTGCGCGATGAGCGGCACGAGCAGCAGCTTGAATATGTCATCTGGATATATGATCGCGTCCATCAATATGAGATGCCCCACTGCACACGAACGCCACAGCAAAACGGAATCCGACAAGAGAATATTCAAAAGGGTGGAGCGAAACCACTGTAATTTTGGGATGGAGATATTCCAAAGGAAAGTTGAAAAGCACGAAAGGAAGGAGCGAATCTACTGTAACACGGGAACGCGGATCTGACATGATTTCAAGGAGCAGGCGTTGAAGATCGCCGTCAAGTAGTGGCCACGGCAGATGCACAGCATGTACTTGCCGGGCTTGCCCGTGAGGTAGTTGCCCGAGTCTGCCACACACGCCGGCGAGAACGAGGGAGAAGAAATGGGGGTTGCGACGGGAGGGGAATACGGGGCGGAAGAGGGGGAGGAGGGCGGCGAACGGGCGCGGTGAGGCGGGGGGAAGGCAAGCGGCTAGCGGCTGCGAGTTAAGTGCCGCAAAGCGTTGAACGGAAGGAGTGGGATTCGTTGGGTATGCACTGTTTAGGTTAAAGTTAGTTTAATGTGATGGCTGGCTCACCAGGATTGCACTGCACGGCGCACGCGAGTTGCTCGACAATGTGCACACACATCTCATTACCCTTCATGAAAGTACCGATCTGCACGCACGAAACGCACGCAAGCACACACACATACACGCACAAGACAAGACGGCTTGGTTCCTTTCCCAAAACGAACGCCGCGGCTGACCAAAACGCATGCAGGTAGGCAGGCAGCACTGATGCTTCGTTTACATTGATACATTGATTCCCGTATCATCGCGCGATCACTCACGCTAGCCGACATGGGGTAGGTGCGGTCGTTATCAGCCACACCGGGCCACACCGCGGCGGTTGCGTTAACGGCGAGCGCCTGAACGGCGAAGTTAAGGTCGGCACAAGCGTCAGGGCAGCACGACAGGTTGGATGCTCTGACACACCGCGTGGGGGGCTGTCGGATCTCCCCGCTCCTCCCAGTGTTAGCTGAAACCTCTCTTGCACTCGTCAGCCTTATTGGTTTACTGCTGCCTGTGGCCTCTGCCTGCCCTCACCCTCCACGGTACTTGCCTGCTGCATTCTCTTTCCCCCTTTCCCCCTTCTCTGACTCTGCTCCTTGTGCTGAACTCACTCTCACACTTGTCTGCCGTTCCTGCTGACACACTCTCGGTAAGCACTTTTGGCGCTCCCACGGGCAGAATCGGCTGCTTTCCGAACAGCAAGTAATAGGGTGACACGTCCTTCAAGGCCGCCTGCTTGCTGAACCTGTAGCCGGCCATCACCCATGCCAACTTCTTATCCCAGTCCCCCGGTTCAGCCCTAGCTCCCTCACATAACGCACGACTCTAACTACTAATCACATCTTAGCTTGTAATATCTCCTTCAGGTCACTACTTGCTCAGCCTGGTGCAAGAATATCGTATTATGAAAGAAACATACAAGCATTGAGGATAGCTACCACAAGGTACCTCCTATCTACCAGATCTGCCTCAGCCACGCTTGTCCCGTCTACCCCTGCCTGTCTTAGCTCACCATCGCGACCTTGGAACAGACTAGCAACCATCCTGCCAACTGCCTCTGTTGCCCGCCTCTTACTTCCTTCCCTCCAGCTGCCACTGTTTTGTTTCAGCTGGCTCCTTGGAGCACACCTGCACACATACGTAAGCAAACATCCATGCATGCGAGCACCCATCCAAAGTGTGGTGGTAACCTGCTTACCCTGTCGCTGCCAAGCGCTGTAATTACAGCCCATGCCTCCCTTCCACTTACGTAAGTCCCGCCCAGCTCGCTATCCATGCATTCCCCAACCCCTCGCTTCGGCAGACGTCAACCTCCTGTTCATCCCCTCACCCTCTCACACAGTACTGACTTCTTCGCCGAGCATCCCTGATACTAGCCCAGCATGCTATGTACAATGTGTACACTTTATACAACCCCCGTGCGCTTACACCTCTCCCCTCACATTCATACAAATGTGACAGCTGTCGGATCTCCCCGCTCCTCCCAGTGTTAGCTGAAACCTCTCTTGCACTCGTCAGCCTTATTGGTTTACTGCTGCCTGTGGCCTCTGCCTGCCCTCACCCTCCACGGTACTTGCCTGCTGCATTCTCTTTCCCCCTTTCCCCCTTCTCTGACTCTGCTCCTTGTGCTGAACTCACTCTTGCCCCCTCCCATGACCTGCTGCCGCCGTCCTCGCCCTGGTCATGGGACCTGAGTACTGCTGCCCCTTTCCCCCTTTTCCCGCCAATGCCACGTTAGTCACGTGATCCATGACTCGCTTTCCACCTTCCTCCTCCAGCACGAACACTCCTGAGTCTCTCACCTCCTTCACAGTCCACCTCTGCTGCGACACCCCGAGATCCAACCCATCTCGCTTAGCTCGCCTCACATACACTTCCTGCCCTTCCCCCACTAGCTGCTCTCCTCCCTGCATCTTCGCCGACTACCGCTGCTTGTAGCGGTGTATGTCTCGCAGCTGGGCTACCTTCAGGCTCTCCATAGCTGCAGGCAGCATCGTCTTGAGATATTTAGCTCTTGCATCAGCCAGCGCCACCCACTTGTCTGCCGTTCCTGCTGACACACTCTCGGTAAGCACTTTTGGCGCTCCCACGGGCAGAATCGGCTACTTTCCGAACAGCAAGTAATAGGGTGACACGTCCTTCAAGGCCGCCTGCTTGCTGAACCTGTAGCCGGCCATCACCCATGCCAACTTCTTATCCCAGTCCTCCTTGTGCGCCTCCCCGTACACGCGCAGGCCTCTCTTCACTGTCTGTACCAGCCTTTCCGTCAGTCCATCTGCCTGTGGGTGGTAGCGGGAGGTGGTGCGATGTTGGATTCCGTTCGACGCTAGCAGCTCCTTGAACTCTCCTTCAAACTCCGTCCCCTGGTCCGTCAGCACCTCCGCGCACGCTCCGAATCGTGTGATCACCATTTCCTCAAATGCTTCTGCCACTGCTGCCGCCGTCTTGTTTACCAGAGCTCGCGCTTCCGCCCACTTGCTCACGTGTTCAATCATGAGCACGATATACCTCCTCCCCCTCCTAGACACTGGCAGCTCCCCCGCAATGTCCAAGGACCAGCGGTACCCGAGCTCCACGATCGCCAATGGCTGTAGCTCCGCCTGGCTCCGCAGCAGCGTCGCCTTGTTCCTGCAGCACAACTCACACTTCTCCACCCACTCCTTTACTTCCTTCCTCATTCCTGCCCACCACCACCCTGTCTGCAGCAGCTGAATCGTGCGGAGCGGCCCGTAGTGGCCTAGCTTCTCATGTACTTCCTTGATTAGGGCCTCTCGCGCTGCTGGCTCTGGTACGCGCTTCCATCCATCCTTCGTCTGCAGCTGCACTTGCCCCTGGTACCACCTGTAGTGCTGCCCCCTGGCTCGCGCCCTGCTGCCGAGTCCTCCATCCTCTGCTGTCTCTCCCTTTATCCACGCCAGCGTTGCCGCATCCTGCCACACATCCGCTGCTCCCCTATCCTGCTCTCCTCCTACCCCCTTCTCCTTGACCATGGCTGTTAGAGCCGCCACTGGCTGCCCCCTGCCTGTGTCTCCGTCCCCTCCATCCTCCTGCTCCCTCGGAGGGTTCCGTGAAAGCCCGTCCACGTGCTGCATGGTTCGGCCCGGGCGGTGCGTTACTGTGAAGTCATATTCCTGTAGTTTCATAGCCCATCGCGCGTTCCGCCCGGTCAGTGTCTGGTTCTGCATCAGCCACAACAGGGGCTGGTGATCCGTCACCAGCGTGAAGTGCCTTCCTTGTAGGTACACTCGGAAGTGTCCTACTGCCCATACTGCCGCCAGTCCCTCTCCCTCATATGATGAGTAGTTGGCCTCCGCTGGGTTACAGGTTCTGCTCGCGAATGCGACCACCTTCTCCTGCCTTGCTTCCATCTGACTCAGCACCGCCCCCATGCCTATGCTGCTCCAGTCCGTGTAGAGCACAAAAGGCGCCTTCCCGTCCGGTAGTTTCAGTACAGCTCCGTTCTTCACCGCCTCCATCAGCCCCTTCCTGCGGCTCCTCCCACTGCCACTTCTGATCCTCTCTCAGCAGCTTGTTTAGCGGTGCCGCGCGCTTGCTGAAGTCGGGAATGAACTTCCTGTAGTAATTTAGAAAGCCCAAGAGCGCTCTCATCCCGCTCCTGTCCTTTGGTCTCCCCACCCTATCCAACACCTCTACCTTCGCCTTCTGGATGCTCAGCTCTCCTGCTGCCACCTCAAACCCCAGGTAGGTCACGCTGCTGTGACCAAAACAGCATTTACCCGGGTGGCATGTCAGTCCCGCTGCTTGGATGGCGGCCAGCGTAGCTTCTATGTCCTGCACGTGCCTTGCACAGTCCGGGCTGAAGATGATGACATCATCTATGTAACAGGCTGCTCCCTTCACTTCTCTCAGCACGGCATCCATCACCCGCTGGAATACTGCAGAGGCAATCCGAAGGGCATGTAATTCCACTCATATAAGTCGTCTGGCCCATGGAATGCGGTCTTCCTCTTATCCTCCTCCGCTATCGGGATTTGGTTGAAGCCCTGCCTTAGATCCAATGTTGAAAACACCCAGCTTCCGTGCAGCTGATCGAAGATTTCTTCTGCCATGGGCATAGGATAGCGATCAGTGGCTGTCACCTTGTTAAGGCCCCTGTAGTCCCCACACATTCGCCTTGCCAAGACGGCTCCAGTCAGATCTGTCCTGGCGGCTACCACTGTGGCCGCTGCATAGTCCGAGGCTGATCGGCGGATCAATCCTGTCGCCAGCAATTCCTGACACTTCGCGGTGCAGACCTCGATATCCTGCGGGCTCATCCTTCGCCGCCTCTGATACACCGGTACCTCGCTGGTTAGAGGCAGGTGCATAGTGCTCGTGATGCACTTCCCCAGCTCCTGCAGGCTGTGAGCGAACACGGCTGCGTGCTGCCGTAGTACTGCTTCCAGCCTGATGGCTGCAGTTCCTTGCAGGGCTGTGCCTATATTCCAGGCGGGCTCCCTCTCCATCACTCCGGCTGCCACCTGCCCTCCTCCGCCCACCACGACCTGTGGTGCTG